TTCTGGAAGCTAAATATGATCTTTGCCCTTAATTATAAAGCGTAAATTTTTGGGACCATAATTCCATCATCACTCCCACGTTATAGTCAGGGGCGGACCTAGTGCATAGACTACGGGTTCTTCGAGAACCCAGTAACTCTTGCGTAGACCCTATATTTATATTAAGAAATTCATCAAATATTGATAAATATCTATGAACCCAATTATTATTGCATATTAATCTGAAATTATGGTAGAAACCCATAAGGTTCATATCGTGGATCCTTTCCCTATCCACTCATCACAACCATCCCCTCATCAACACTGTTATATTATAAGGTTGCATAAACCAAGCAACTCACCATTTTATTCAAACACTTTCCTTCATTTCTCACTTTTATTAATTTCCATTTTATTCAGCAAAAAATGGACCTACCTTCACAAATCAAATGTCATATTGTTGCAATGCCTTATCCAGGTAGAGGCCATATTAATCCAATGATGAATTTCTGCAAACTCATAGCCACAAAACATCCCAACATTCTTATTACTTTTATTGTAACTGAAGAGTGGTACAGTTTTATTAATTCCGACCCTTTACCAGAAAACATTAAATATGCAACTATACCTAACGTTATTCCTTCCGAAATTGGTCGTGCTAAAGATTTTGCTGGATTTCTCAGAGCTACTTTAACTAAACTAGAAGCTCCTGTTGAGAAATTGATTGATGGGCTTGGGCCGTTGAAACCGAGTGTTATAGTGTATGATACGTACATGAATTGGGTGACAAGAGTTGGGAGTCGGAGGAATATTCCGGTGGCTTCATTTTTTCCGATGTCGGCGACTGTGTTCGATATTTTTCATCACATGGATCTTCTTGCTCAAAATGGGCATCTTAAAGCCAATTTGTCAGGTATTGCATTTTCAATTATTTTTTTCAAATGGATATTATTGTTTGATCAGGCACAGGGTTAAGAAAGAAGGACTTTTGGCAATTACAAAATGTTACATTCGTTAGATATTTTTATGGCTATTAAAGCATGTCAAGGAGAGTAAAATGGAAGTTTAAAGTTAAGAAGTTTCAAATATAGCTATAAATGTATCATTCTTTTTTAAACATAATGTCTTAAAAAAGAAAAAAATTGTCGTGTAAAGTGGAACAAAGGAAGCATTATTTTGCTGCATGGCCAGTTATTTGGTCTGAATAGATCTGATTAATTTAGATCTTGTATCGAAGTTTTCAAATATATAAATGTATCGTTCTTTTTAAAACATAATTAAAAGAGAAAATAGTGTCGTATAAAGTGGAAGAAAGTAGAGATGGCAAAATGGTTAAAAAAAACACTTATCCACCCATATTATCCATTAAAACATGGGTTGGATAATGAACTTTTTAACAACGGGTCGAATATGGATAAGAACCATATTATCCACTTAGAAAATGAATAACCAGATGGATAACCAATGGATAACTAACGGGTTAACTTTTATATTTGGAAAGACCCAAATTGGGGGTTCCTCAAGTTTGAAGATTAAGAATTATCCCAAAAGTGATCATATTCAAGAAGCCCTGTATAATGTGGATATCCATATTATTCACCGGATAACCCGTTTTTTATCAGTATTAAATATGGGTCGGGTCGGATAATTTACCGGTTTTAAATTACCTATTTTCGACCCGCTCATATCCGACCCTCCCCCCGCCCGTTTGCCACCCCTAGAACAAAGGAAGCATTTGTTTTGCTTAACATCAGTTATTTACTCCAAATAGTCGTAGAAGCAGCCACTAATGCTTGCATTAGGGTAGGCTGTCTACATCACACAAGGGGTTCGGCGCTTCCCCGGCCATATGTTAACGCGGGATACCTTGTGCACCGGCGTTATCCAACAATGAGGTTAATCTGCCTTCTTAATTGCAATATGTCTTCCAAGAGAAAGCTACTGATTAACAATTTCTATTTACATATTTGTAAATCTACATGATTGTCATTATTCATGTACAGGAAAACAGCAAGAGCAGGTTGATTATATTCCTGGAATTCCTTCGATTCGCGTTTTAGATCTTCCTACACCATTCCATGGAAAGGGGCAAGAATTATTGGATGTAACAATGGAGATCTTCTCGACAGTGTCTAAAGCACAATATCTTTTGTTCACTTCAGTCTATGAGCTTGAATCTTCTGTTATTGACGCTCTAAAACAAAAATTTACAGTCCCTGTCTATCCAATTGGTCCAGCCATACCTTACTTCACTAGCGAAAAAGATCCCTCCTCGACTACTTCTGTCGATGAACCAGAGTACATTAAGTGGTTAAATGCTCAACCAAATGATTCTGTGTTGTACATATCACAAGGGAGTTTCCTCTCTGCATCGCGTGCTGAACTGGATGAGATCGCGGCTGGTGTACACGACAGTGGTGTTCGATTCTTTTGGGTGGCACGTGATGAAACTGTCCGATTTCAGAATAATGGATGTAGCGAAGGGCTGGTTGTTCCTTGGTGTGACCAATTGAGGGTGTTGTCACATCCTTCTATTGGTGGATTTTGGTCGCATTGTGGATGGAATTCGACTAAAGAAGCAGCATTTTCAGGTCTTCCAATGCTGACTTTTCCAATATTTTGGGATCAACAGACTAACAGTAAGCAAATTGTTGAAGACTGGAAGATTGGTTATAGGGTGAAAAAAGATGGCAAATGTTCGATAACGAGGGAAGAGATCTCTAGCCTGTTGAAGTGGTTTATGGATTCTGAAAATGATGAAGTGACGGAAACGAGGCGAAGAGCGAAAGAAATACAGAAAATATGTCAATGTTCCACTGCAAAAGGTGGATCTTCTGAAATTAACATTGATGCTTTCGTCAAGGATATATGTTTCATGCCATAAATATCGTTGATTAATGCAGTGTAATGTTAAACATGTAAGTGTACATAATACTGAACTTATGTTCAGGAGATTATTGTAGGAAATTATTGCAGAGTGCAGTTCTGCCCTTTAAGTAGGATTATCAGATAATGTAGTTGTTGAGTTTTTTAAGCTTACTTTAGATTAAAAGAGGGTGAATGGGAAATGCAGGGAAAATGAAATATTTGAGTTTCCCTCCTTGACAAAGGGACATTGTCCCATATTGGAGGAGGAAAAGACATTTGATGGGTATATATACAATTGCTCTTCTTCTAGCTCTTAAAGATTTGATAAGAAGGCAAGCCTCGCGCCGTCGTCGTCGCTTGGTTTTGGATTTGGTCAAATGATTGATTGATTTTTTTTGACCAAATTTATTTGTTAATAGTAAATATTAACGCAATATTATTAAATATTCGTTTTTTATAACGGAAAAGTAATTTCCTCTGTGTTTGAGTTCCCTTTTTAATTTGCGTAAAGGACCATTTATGTTATGTCCGTTTTACGTAACTGACCTCTGAAGAGTTGCACCTCTTCGTTTGAACTCAACAGGTTGGGGCTATAAATAGCAGTTCATTCTCTCAGATTTTCCATACGAAATTCTGAATTTTCCTTCTTTCTTTTGCATGTTTTAACTACAGAGAAAGCAACACTAAGTGTGATTTGCTATCGATCATTGTGTTCGCTCAAACACTGGGATTTGAAGTACCGCTACACCAGTGTGTAATCCGTTCTATCTTGGGAGGAAATAATCCACAATCTCGGGTACTAGGAGGGGATTAAGTTCCTTAAGGAAACACTGTGAATTCAGTGGGCTCGGATTAAATTCTGTTTCTTTTACATTTCTGTTTATACGTTATTTTATCTTCTCCAAAATTATTTTACAAATACAGTTTACTAACATTAGTCTCAACTTTGATTTAGTTCAGCCGTTTGGCTAAGGAACTTGCTTTTCAAAGCTACTGATGCAGTTTATTTTCTCTGTTTTGTGCAGTGATTCTTTCTCTTTTAAAATATCTGAAATTATTTGGTTTGTGTAGTGTAGGACGAATTAGAGTAGATAAAGGGAATCTGTTTTTTACTAGTTACTTTTAATGCATGCCCGTTGCCAAGCTTTTTAGTTGCTCCAAGCCAAAGCTTATAAATCCAACCACCTACCACACTAGTGATTAAAACGAAGGAGACCCTTAGAGTAACGGTAGAGTCGTTTCCGTATGACCTATAGATCACAGGTATGAGCCATAAAAGCAGCTACTAATGCTTACATTAAGGTAGACTGTCTACATCACATCACACTCCTTGGGATGCGGTCTTTCTCCAGACCCTATATGAACATAATATTGAATTTATATTCATGAGATTATTTGTAGGAAGTATTGCAGAATGCAGTTCTGCCCTTTAAGTAGGATTATCAGATTATGTATTCTCAACTTTGATTTAGCTCAGCTATTTGGCCAAGGAGCTTCCTTTTCAAAGCTATTGAAGTTATTCAGTGAGGATTAATAGACTACTACATTTCTAAGATATATTTTGGTCTCTATTCTAACTTATAAGCATCCTAATGGCTCTTGATTTTCACATTTTGCTACACTAGTGCGAATAGAAACCAACCTCTTCCCTTGTGTTTCTTTTCTCTGTTTAAAGCGGCAATTCTTTTCCTTCTCAATATCTGAAACTGAGATAATTAGTTTGTGTTTGTATATAGAATGAAATTATTGGAGTAGATAAAGGGAATCTGTTTTTAGTTAAGTATTATTTCTTATTAGACTGATGTTAGAGGGGATAACAACTGGAGCTCTTCATTCACTTCCAAATACAACAATGTTTATAATACAACACAGTAGTATTATTCTAGATACTTTATACGATAGGATATGTCCAATATTGGAGGAGTCCTAACTACTGGAGGCTGCTGGTGATCCTTTATACGATAGGATATGTCCAAAAATCCCAGGCAAATAAAAGGTGGGTCTTTCACCTTGAGTTTGTCCCTTAGAAATTGGAATCTCGCAGTAGTAGACAATGGCTTCGTGAGTACATTAGCTACTTGATCTTTCAAAGAGAGAAACTGAATTAGTAAGTCACGTCTAGCAACTGTCTCTTACAAAACGAAAATCGATCTCTACATGCTTGGTACGAGAGTGAAAATGGGATTAATGGACAGGTACATAGAACCTATATTGTCGCACCAGAGAATAGGAGCACAAGAGAGATGGATACCTAGCTCAAGCATCAATGATTGAATCCATGTCAGTTCAGCAGCAGCATCTGCGAATGCTTTGTACTCAGACTCCGTATATGATCTAGCCACTGTCCGTTGTTTCTTTGAGGACGAGGAGATTAATTTTGGACCAAAGCATATAGCATAACCACCTGTAGACTTGCGATCATCAATACTGCCAGCCCATTGAGAGTCAGGGAATGCCTGCAACTGAAGATTAGAAGCTTTTGAAATAAAAAATGCCACCAATTTAGTGTGCTGAAGATAACGAAGAATGCGCTTTACAGCAGCCCATTGATTTATCGATGGATGATGCATGTATTGTTCACCACAAAGGATATGTCGGGTCTTGTAAGGGCGAGATATTGAAGAGCACCAACAACCTGTCTATAAAGACTTGGGTCAACGAAGGAGGAGCTGTCACCCTTATACAGCTTCACATTGGTTGCCATAGGAGTGCTGAGAGGTTTGCAATGAAGCATGCGAGCCCTAGTGAGGATGCCATGAATATACTGGGACTGGGAGAGCCAAATGCCAGTGTTGTCGCGATGCACCTGAACACCAAGAAAATAGTGAAGTGGACCGAGGTCTCTTATGGAGAAGGCACTGCCAAGAGCTCGAACAAATGAATCAATGAAGGAAATGTTGTTTCCTGTGAGTACAATGTCATCTACATAAACCAAGAGGTAAGCAACGATATCTCCATGAGTGTAGATGGATAAAGAAACATCAGTTTTAGTTATTGTAAAGCCAACTGTGAAGAGAAACTGATGAAGCTTGTTGTACCAAGCCCTTGGTGCTTGCTTAAGACAATAAAGAGATTTGCTAAGCTTGCAAACATGAGTAGGGAATTGGGGATGAACAAAACCTGGGGGTTGAGCCATGTAGACATCCTCTTGAAGCTCACCATGTAGAAATGTATTTTAAACATCCAATTGACGCAATGGCTATCCATAAATAGCTGCCAGCGATAGGATGATGCGGATGGTGGTTGGTTTAACAACGGTACTTAATGTTTCATGATAATCTTGGCCCTCAACCTGATGAAATCCTTTGGCAACTAAGCGACCTTTATATCGTTCAATAGCTCCAATTGAGTTCCTCTTAATGCGAAAGACCCATTTGCACCCTAAAATGTTCATGGAAGAACTAAAAGGAACCAACGACCATGTTTGGTTCTTGAATGTTCGATAAAAACAAAGGACGAGAACAAACAGTTGTGTACCTTATTGACGCAGTGGAAACCGTTGAACTTACCACCAAAAGAATTGCTCCAAATCAACCTTTGAATTACTAGAAAATAAAGTTAATCTTCCACCAATTAGATGCTCTAACTTGTGTGTGTTTTTCATGTAGAAAGGATTAGTCAGAGAAAATTCTAACGCTTGAAAGTTCTGTGTTTTTTCCTTAACATAAATAGGCAGAGTAATAGCGGTTAAGGAAGATAACCCACCACTCCCCCCTTTTTTTTACACGTTCAGTTTAGTGGAGTTTGTGGTCTAGTGGTAACTTTCCTTAACCTCTCTCACTTATCTCTCCTAACCGGGTCGGATCAGCCCAGATGGAGCGACCCACGACCCATAATCCAACATCTCCCACTTCACTCATAGTGGGCTAGACCGATGTCTTTGACACACAGTTCATACTTGCAAATAGTTGGTGCGACCTGCGAGCACAAAGAGCTGTAACATTCCAAAACCAATTAAAAGTTGTACTAAAGCTCTGTGTAAAAATCCAATCACATACGGAAAGGATTCACTACTATCATGAGGATATTATTACTCACAATACCCCCAGACATCATTCGCTATTCCAGTAGTTACTTATTCAATCTCTCATCCTCGAAAGAGGCAAACTCGAGTTCTCAAATAACATTGTCTCCATAATTACACCCAATACCCTCATGGTAGGTGTAATGGTCGACCTATGAACACAAGTTAAATTACTAAATTTTAGTTATCTTCCCTTTCTATTCGAATCTTTCCATTCCAAATCAACTGCATTCCTAGACATGCACTGCATTGTCGAATCACTCATGGCTATTAGTAACATGCTAAAGTAGCAACACTAATTGAAACTTCAAGAGACAGTAAAAGGTCAAAAGGTATTTCAATAAAAGTTAATATAACTTCTTTGGAATCTCACACAATGAAGAAACAGAGATTCATTCTTCCATTACCCCATGGTCGATAGCACACGTGGTATGAAACACATGTTACGGTGTTCTCACCTTATATTGGCGTGTGTGTCTTATTCTTTTAATTATTCAACACCGTACAGATCTTGGTCTATGTCTAACCCGATTTTCTCACTTCAATACGCCTTAAACCATCTTCTTAGTGAAACTCGCATCTGGTTTACAAAACAATTCATAATCGAATAGTGAAATTCTTAAGTCTGATTAGTTGTCAAGACCGACCTCTATAAGTAAATATAACTTCGCATTATCCAAGGTTCTATAAGGTCTCATCTCTTCACGATTCTTAATGTAAGAGGTGATTGCTCGTGTGAGAGAGCCAATCTCGTGACTTGTTCGACACATTTTATCAACAAAACATTCATCACATGTATACGAGATATAAGCATAAATTCAAGAGTCAAATATTAATGAGCATATTATAATACTAAAGTCATTTTACAATATATAAATATGTTCATAACCTTCGCAAACCTAGAGCCATAACATGTTTCTCAAACAGGTCTCTAGATATTGCCTTCGTAAAAGGATCAGCTATCATGCTTCGCGTAGGAATGTACTTTAGATTTATCTCTCCACTTGCTACCATGTCTCTCACAAAGTTATACTTGATGTCAATGTGTTTGGTCTTGCTATGATACTTAGGATCTTTTGTGTATGCAATAGCCACTTGACTATCACAATATAGAGTCATGGAACCCTGAGAGTTCTTTATAATATTCAAAGCTCAGAGAATCTCTTCAACCAAACAACTCCTTGTACTGCAGAATCACAAGCCACAAACTCAGCTTCCATCGTCGAAAGGGTTGTACAAGTTTGTTTCCATAACCGGATGTTGATTTTCTATCATCCGGTCACCAACCCAATCAACATCTGTATATCCTCTCAAGCATAAATCATTTCCACTATAATATAGTGAATAATCTGCAGTTCCCTTCAGGTATGTGAAAATTCTCTTTACAACTTTCCAATGATCTCTTCCAGGATTGGATTGATACCTGCTAACCAGACCTACGGCATAACAAATGTCTGGGCAAGTACACATCACAGCGTACATCAAGCTCCCGACATCACTTGAATACGAAACTCGAGACATGTCTTCCTTTTCATTTTCAGTCATGGGACACTTAAAGTTTCACCTTTCGCTATAGGAGTATCCATGGATTTGCAACTATTCATGCGAAACCGAACCAAAATTTTCTTTGTATAAGTTTCTTGAGATAAACTCAATAAATTTTTGGAACAATCTCTTTGGATCTTAACTCCAAGGATATAGTCTTCCTCACCCATATCTTTCATGTCAAATGACCTCGAAATCCATGACTTGATAGTTTTCAAATACTCCAAATTATTTCCGGCCAATAAAATATCATCCATGTAAAGAGAAAGAATTACAAACATTCTATTGGACTTTTTCACATAAATGCAATGGTCTTCACTGATCATGGTGAAATCATACGAGATCACCTCCTTGTGAAATCTTAAATAACATTGCCTTGAAGATTGCTTCAGGCCATAAATAGATCTTTTCAATTTACAGACCTTCTTTTCTTGGCCTTTAACAATGAAGCCTACAGGTTGTTCCATGTAGATTTCTTCATTTAATTCTCCATTGAGAAAAGATATCTTCACGTCCATTTGATGTAATTCCAAATCCAAACGTGCAACAATAGCCAAAAGTAAGCGAATTGAGGTAAATTTTACAACTGGTGAAAATGTTTCCTTGTAATCTATTCCACCTTCTTGAGTAAAGCCTTTTTCCACCAATTATGCCTTGTATCTTTCTATTGATCCATCCGATTTGCGTTTAACTTTGAGGACCCATTTGTTCCCAATGGCTCTACGCCCAGGCGGAAGGTCAACTAGATCTCAGACTTTGTTGGTTTTCATGGACTCTAATTCTTCTTTTATTGCTTTCATCCACTCATCTTTCCACGGCTCGATAAAGCCTCAGTCACAGACTTTGGCTCATCCATTTCTGTGGGAGATACCAAGAAAACATAATCATCAATTTCATAAGTACGTTTAGGTATATTTTTCCTGGCACTCTTTCGTAGTTGAAATTTAGGTTCGCAGAAGGATTTTGGGATTGAGAGTTCCCACTCCCACTCGGATCAAGAATAAGATCTTGATCAATTTGATTATCAAATGTGTTAGAAGACACTTGCTGACTATCTGAGTTCACTAATTCATAAAGAGGCTCTCCATTCTTTACCTCGCCCTTCTTTGAAAAATTATTTTCCAGAAATATGATATCTCGTGATTCAATCTCAGTAATACTTCCATCCTCTAATTCACCAATGAACACATACTCTTTGGAGTGTTCTGAATATCTTATAAAGATACATTTCTTGCCTTTTGGACCTAATTCACCAAACTTGCTAAAAGAAATTTTTACATATGCAACACAACCCCAAGGTCGTAAATCATTCAAGTTTGGCTTATGACTAGTACATAGCTCATAAGGAGTGGGAGAAACTGAGCTAGAAGTCACTTTGTTCAATATGTAGGTTATAGTCAATAATGCATCTCTTCAAAAGGAGATAGGTAAATTTGCCTGCACAATCATGGACCTTATCATGTCCAGTAGTGTTCTATTCCTCCTTTCTGCTATACCATTTTGTTGAGGTGTGTATGGAATAGTTAACTGTCTGGTGATGCCCTTTTCATTACATAACTCTTCAAATTGATTTGATAGATATTCACGCCCTCTATGGGTTCTTAAGGTCTTAATCTTTTTGTCTAATTTATTGTCAACTTCATTCAAATATTTTTTTAAAGCATTCAAGTGCTTCAAATTTATGAGAAATCAAATAGACATAACCAAAACGTGTGAAATCATCAATGAATGTAATGAAATATAAAGAACCAGAGCTAGCCCTCACATTCATTGGACCACATATATCAGAATGAATTAATTGCAATGGAAAATCAGCTCTCTTAGCCTTTCTAAATGATTTACGTGTAATCTTTTCGGCAAGACAATTTTCACAAGTTGGTATTTCAATTTTAGAGAAAGAACCCAAATGTCCTTTCTTAGCCAATTATTCATTCGATCCTGCCTTATATGACCTAATCTTGCATGCCATGTAATAACATCAACATCATTGTTACTAGAATAACATGCCATAACACAAAAGTCAACATAATAGTTATACGTAGAAGGATTACAATCTACCACAATAAAAGCATCATAACGATGTCTAAAACCATAAAAAATATTGTCTTGAGTAATTCTAAGACCATTGCGACTAAAGTTCAAATTAAAATCTAAATCTAGAAAAACATACACAGAGACTAAGTTTCGTCAAATCTTTGGAACATATAGGATGTCATGCAATATCAAAGATCGGCTAACACACATGTCCATTCTGCAAGTGCCTATCCCTTTGACTTCAAGCTTTGCATTATTTCTCACATATATATACTTAGATCTAGGTGGAACTTGACGAAACTCTATAAACGCTTCTCTATCGCGGCTCACATGGTCGGTGGCCCCTGAGTCTACAATCCATATAGGATAAGATTCAGTTAGTAAAACAGTGCTAGAAACATATATAGCACTAAGATATGCATTTTGAAATGCTACCTTTTTGGCTCAGCGCACTCACGAGCAAAATGCCCTGGGACTTGGCAATTGTGGCACTTCATCTTGCTCTTGTCTTTCTTCTTGTAGAATCATTTTTCTTTCTTGGAATGTGGCTTGTTTCTTTTCTTGGAGGATCTTTCTCCGGTCTCCTTACCCTTTCCATCATTTTTCCAGTTTCTCTTTCGCTTGACGCTTGATCTCTTTGTACCACTTGATTCTACCACAAAGGCATTAGGTACATATTTAGCAGCACCAAGCCGCTCGTCTTCAAGCTTCACATGACGGACAACATCGGCAAAAATTTTGATGCTATCATTATGGGTCAAGTTAACCTTCAGATATTCCCAATTATTGGAAAGCGATCGAATCACTGCCTGAACCTGCTGCTCATCAGAGAGAGCATGGCCAACACTTTTGAGTTGAACAATCATATTTGACATCACCTTTAGATGTTGTTTGACACTGTGATCATCACGTTTTTGTACGTGTCAAACTTGATTTTCAGCTATCGGAGGCGAGTCACAGTTGTACCCCCATATGCCTCTCTTAAATATGACCACATGGCTTGAGCAGTAGGATATTGCTCACATTACTAGATGAGATCATCAACAACTGAACTTACAATAATTCCACGTGCAGTGGAATCTTTCTTTTTCCAAATATTGTAACTATCCAGATCCCTCATGTGTTAAGCAGTAATACCCTCACCTGGGTAACTCACAGCATGGTTAATACTTTCAAGAGCATCTTGCTCTTCGACTACATACCACATCTTACGACTCCAGATGTCGTAATTTTCACCATTCAGTTTGTCACCCTTGTTCAAGTCAACAATGATACTTTTCGATTTCATGTCTGTTATTAGAGACAATATTACACATTTAACTCATCAATATATATACTATAGCCAATTTATGCATGTGATTACATACTCAAGTAAATTAATTATAATATTAATTTTACATTTAGTATAGAATCGAAAGGTCACTACATTTTCATTCATCATCTATATCTAAATTGTTATGAAATAATAAAAGAAGAAGAGTATTGCAGAGAAAAGTAGGGAGAGAGAACTCTTATTAATTTTGGGATGAATTACAATGGAATAGAACCCTCTATTTATAGGGAGAGAGTGACTTAGCCACCAAGTAATAAACCCTAGAATCTCTCTAAATATGGACATTCTCCATAAATTGAATTCTATTTATAACACTCCCCCTTGAATGTCTATTCAACAGATAATGTGCCTCGTTAAAACCTTAACTAAATAAAATCCAATGGGAAAAAAATTCTAGAGAAGGAAAAAAGTACACATATCTAACAATACGCCTTTTGGTTGCCTCGTTAAAAACCTTGCAAGGAAAACCCAGTGGGACAAATCCTTGTAAGGAAAAAAAATACAACACGTATTAACTCCCCCTGATGAGAGAATTAATTCACATCTTTAAGCATTTGTATTCCAATCTTGTGCACCATCTTCAAACGATCTTTGGTAGAGACTTGATAACAAATCAGTCATATTAACTTGAATGAATATATTGCATCTTGAAATCATCATTCTTGATAGAGATGTAATGTCTTCATAAACTGCCGTAGAATGGCCTTTTCAATATCTCCATAGAGGTATCCTCGCTATCACATTATCATGCTTATAGTTATAGCAAATTACATATGTGCACAAATTACACTTATCATACGGTACTTCGAGACCAAGAATTGTATATGCTTCAAGCGATTTAAATCCTTCAAGGATTGTCATATAAGTTAAGTCATACAAGCCATATAATAGACTTTAGATGTATATCAAGTTTTTATGTCATGCTAGACATATAAGATATCGAAAACTGATTGCACATACCATTGACTTTATACTTTCAAGTATTTGAACAACATAGACAAAATTATGTGTCTTTCATATGGAATCAATTCTACTTGAATTGTGTCTCTTCCATTTGGACAATACTTTTGTGTCTATATTTAATAGACTTAAAATCCTCATCTATACTTAGCGCTATGATAGATGTCGTCGACAAACATTTTATATCGGTTCCAATATTTTTTCATAAAGACATAACATAGGGATCTTTTCATTCATATATTCAGGTACCTGAATCTCTCATAAGATTTTATGAAGTGTTATGTCATGGGATCTTCTAGATCACTTGCCTCCTTTATTATGATCATTTGCTCATCTTCTTTATTAAGAAGTTTATTTGAAACCGATTTGTCTATACTCTTTAAGCGTACCATAGACTTTGTCCTTATAGGACTTAACATGAGCATTTGCAATGAGAATATAGTTACTTTCTTTGGGTCTGTAAATGCGTCTGGCATGCTTTGCAATATATTGCAAATGAATTATCTTTTATGAACTTCAAGTTCATATTATTTTATTCAAGGATCTAGATATAAAAATGATAATTCATTCCGCGTAACTTTTTCTCAAATGTTATCATCTCTCCCCATCATGTTAGAAAAACTAACCTGCTTCATCATCTTTGTGCGTTATGGTGTTAATCAAAATATACACCGCACATCAATAATAATAAGATGGAATTATTTGGTTCCTGACTGTGAACCACTTGCAAGGGGAGAAAGTACTATACTTTCGTATATAACCTATATCAAACTGACACAGATAACTTTATTCTCATAAGCAATAGTTTAGCTATTAAGTGGAGGCACTCAATAAATTATTTTGCTAAACCAACTATGATGTAAACCAACTTATCAAGATGAACTATATTGAATAAAAAATTTGGAAATTATGCTTAAATCAAATTATTGAGCAAGTTACCTCGCAAACACCATGTTGCGGGTTAATAATAATCGTACATGTAACCAACTCATAGATGTATCTTATGTGGTATACATGGCAGGTGAATGAGCCCATATTCACCTTTGATAATTCCAGCATTCATGGGATTCAATCCCAATTTTAGTTGGTCTATTAATTAGTGAGAACAAGCAACATAAGAGAATTCATAAAGAACTTCTAGTCCTTTAATATTTACCCATGTGAATTCTCTTTTATTTTTGCACATCATACTTAAATCAAGATTGCTCAATACGCCATGCTTGATAAAATTGTCTGTATTAGTAAACTTCAGGTTTACATCATGATATGTGCAATTATCAATAAACTCCAAGTTTATTATGATATGAGTTTTTATACCAACAAACATTCAGTTTATTATGGTATTCTTTTATTTGTGTAGTACAAACTGGAGAATAAAGCGAGTAGCTATTAACATACATATTACCCTGCTACAAATTATAGTAATAGAAGATATTAAATCTTTCTTTATTTATAGTCTCAATATAATCAACCGATTTCGCGTATACTTTGGAAACTGAATAAGTTTCTTTGAGATTTACTACAACACAATACCTTATTGGTAATCAATTGTGTTTCTCCAAAATAGTAATAATTGGCTATTGCAGAGTTCTCAATTAATTTGGTACTACCACATATTTATCAACATCCATATGGTGAATATCTCTTTTAAAGAGAAAGTTATACCATTATTGTTATGGTCAAAATTATATGCAAGATATGTTTCTTGCATTATTGTTGTTCTTTAATAATCACATTGCCAAAATATTTTGGCGTACAATAGGTACGTGAACAATGACCATTCATGCCATAATAATGACATTATTTTCTTATATCATCTCAAACCTCCTTCTAGAGGTGAGTGTGGTATATTCAATACCAATAGTACGTTCATATTCTTCCAAGAATGAATATGTCTTCATAAATCAGATGTTGTCACATTCTCATCATGAATGGACCATAATCATCTATATGTGCTATATGAAATCTCATGTTAAATCGATGACAGATATTACTTTCACAGAATGAATGATTATTTTGAGAATCCTTATTGTTCTCATTACTACAATAATGATGATTATAATTTCGTCTTCTTTCAGACTTATTACATACTGCTATTACATTCTCGTAAGGGAATGAGAATGAAGCAAATTCAATGGGACGGGTTTCCATTTCTTGTGCTCACGATCATACATGACTTTGATCATGGCAAGACATAGAAATTTACCACTTCGAGTGGTTATAATTTCTTTTAAACTCTATTAGAGTTACAATCAAAATTTATCGTCTTTGTTTGTATTTAAAATCAAATTGTAGAATGTCAAGAATTCGAAAGAGAAAAGTAAAATGCTTACCTTAAATCCAGAATTTAATTATAAAGGAAGTTCATGGAACAATTGACAATCATTATGCTCAATCCCAAAGCTTCTACTCAATTGGTTAGAGTCGTGTTGATAACGTGTTATGAAACAATAAAAGAAGAAGAGTATTGCAGAGAAAAGTAGGGAGAGAGAACTCTTATTGATTTTGGGATGAATTACAATGGAATAGAACCATCTATTTATAGGGAGAGAGTGACTTAGCCACCAAGTAATAAACCCTAGAATCTCTCTAAATATGGACATTCACCATAAATAGAATTCTATTTATAACATAAATATTTTAATTAATATTAAAATCACTTTTTAGTGTATACTTTATTTCAAGTCTCAATCCATTACAAAAATATAATAAATAATATATGTAACTAGTGACAAATAACATAATTTTAAATTTCATTAAGATAAAACACATAATAACAATTTACATGTTTGCTAGGACATACATGTATCAATCGAACACTAACTCTTGCTCATATACGCTAAAAGGTGCACTAGGCCAAACATCATGATAAATCTCAGTTAAAATTTCACTCCAAGGCTCTCAAAGAGAGTTCGCTAAAATAGCTAATGCTTCCTAATCAGTAATTTTTATGTAATTAGCCAATCAACTCTTTTTAACCTAAAAAGGTGTACATGTTCAGGAATGGAAGTATCATGACCCATTTTAAATTCCCTAAATTTCTTTTCTCCTTCCCTTCGTTCAGCCCTTCGATCCCTTAACTCATTTTGTTTCGCCCTTGGGACATTCCTAATGACTTTAGGCTCTGAGTCTGAATCATTATAGAAATAAATCCTACGACGACGTATCCTTCTACGTTGTCCCCTTCCTTGACTTCGAGAACTCCCACTTGGAGTAATTCGTACTTGTCCATGTTCAGCCATATCTGAAATAGGACCAAGAAAACAATAAGAATGATTACAACCACTCAATGTGACAACATATGTCACAGTAACTCGTAAAAGTATATCAATGTAAGGGATAAAGCTAAACAATTCAAAAAAATCTGTACTAAGACCAATTCATTAATAATTTAGATTCATAGTCTTAGCACATTGAATTATTTTTATCTTGTAACAAATACCAAAAGGATATCCAAAAAAAAAGAAAAAATAGTCCGTCTACATGTATAAAAAATCGATGTGGCATAAAATGTGCATACACCAATTTGTATGAGGCAAAAAAAAAATATGCAGTACAAATTTAATATTCTGGCTTCTTAAAATTGGTCACTGCACAATGCATAACTTAACATGCCATTCTACATAATGATAAAATCCTAACATTTTCGCTGCGAGAAAGGAGATTCCCTTAACATGCCTAAATATTGGGTTCCAAAGTCAGTTGTGTTTGGACCATTGCGAAAGACTGCTACTGGGAAAATACAAAAGCACTTGTTGAGGACAAATTAAAAACGAAGGAGATAGGACCAATGACGAAGAGTAGATTGTAATTATATAATGGTTTGTGCCTTAATAATACCAAGACACCTTTACATTATCATTAAAATTATACTTCACCAGATTTAAAAAATATATAACAAAGGCATCTTCTGGTTTTGTCACAACAATTGATTGTTAATGTGGTTAAAGTGGAAAGATTAAATTGGGTAGGATTAAAGACCTATTTCATTGCTTTCGCCGAAACACAAAAAAAAAAAAAAAAAAAAAAAAAAAAAAAAAAAAAAAAAAAATTCGCCATAGCCAGTGATAACAAATTACTTCATGCAACTATGTATGCAAACCAGAATACACCATACATTGCTCTGATGCCATTATTCTATAAAAATGAGGGGCGAGAACAACTAGATGTGTACCTTATTGATGCAGCGGAAATCATTAAACTCACTACCAAAAGAATTGCCCCAAATCAATCTTTGAATCACTAGGAAACAAAGTTAATCTTCCACCAATTAGATACCCTAACTTATATGTGTTTTTTGTGTAGAAAGGGCGCTTGAAAGTTCTGTACTTTCTCCTTAACATAAATAGGCAGAGTAATAGCGGTTAAGGAAGATAACCCACCATTCTCTCCCTTTTTTTTGCACGTTCAGTTTAGTGGAGTTTGTGGTCTAATGGTAATTTCCCTTAACCTCTCTCATTTATCTCTCTTAACCGGGTCGGTCATCCCACATGGAGCGACCCATGACCCATAATCCAACATTGAATAAGGCTGTCATCTAAGAAGACATAGCGACAGACCATTCTTTAAACTTTGAGGCTTCTGTGAAGTTGGTAAGATCTGTTGAAGGAGGGGAAGGAGCAATAGTAATAGATGTGCAAGCAAGATGAGATGTGGGCTTGCGTTTGGACGCCAGATGTAGTTGCATGGTGTGGGATCGTTCAGGTGGATTAGCAACTTTTGATTTATGTTTAGGCGCAGATAGTGTAGTTGAAATGAGAGGCTGTTGTATTAGGCTCTGATACCATATGAAACTGATGTTAGAGGGATAATAACTGGAGCTCTTCATTTACTTCCAAGTACAATAATACAACAATATTTATAATACAACACAGTAGTAGTATTCTAGATGGAACCAAACTACTGAAGGCTGCTGGTGATCTTTTATACGATAAAATATGTCCAATATTTCCAATCGCCAAGCTTTTTAGTCGTTGATCCAAGCCAAAGCTTGGAAATTGAATCACCTACAACACATTAACGACATTTTTAGTGACATTTTTTCTTTTCAGTTTGAATATCATAATGCGATTAAAGTCCAAAATCCGAGTTATTTGGTTCGAGGGGTAAGAACTCTTTAATCTCAATTTAGAAGGTTCAGTTATTGATACTTCATCTATCTCAGTTCATGTGTCATACTTTCTTTTTTAGTCTATTCTTAAATAAATGTCATACTTCCCTATTTGGAAACAATTCAACTTTAAACTTTTTATTTTACCCTTAAGGAAATAATTTATAGTCAAGCAAATATATATGGCTTGATTAGATCACAAATTTCAAAAGTCTTCGCCTCTTTTTTAAACTTAGTGTCGAGTCAAACACCATCACATATTATAGGACGGAGGGAGTACAATATTTGATTTTGAATTTGAAATCCTGTATTATTAGTATAATCCCCGCGTAACCAGAAGTTACTCCATTTTGCATGCTAAAAAGCTTTTGCGTAATACATGAGTAATTTGACCAAAATCTTGCACGGAAAAGTTAAATTTACTCAGCAGCTTCCTGATAATTAAATTTCCAATAGAAATTGTGACGTTATAATATCTCATACAACTTGAGATAATTAATTACGTTTCTCTCTTTGTCTTTTCTTTACTTTGACGTGGGACGGTTGAACTTTCTACAATTCTAACGTTTAATAGTGATCTCTATGTCATCATCAAAGTTTTAGTTATCCACTTTGCTTCTTGTCTGCTCTATTCCCTTTCTAGACACTTGGATTATTAATCTTCCTTTCAAAGTGATGATTAAAAAGGAAATATCCATTGACGTTAGAATTAGTGGGCATTTGGACAAGAATTGTGAAATTACGGAAAAGTAAAAAAAAAAATCAAATGAAAATGATATCTGAAAATTAAAGTTGTGTTTGAATATGAATACAAAGTGGAGGTTGTTTTTGAAATTTTATAAGTGATTTGAAGTGAATTTTGAAAACAGTTTTTTGGAATTTTTTAAATTTTCGAAAGATTCCGAAATTCAACTTCAAGTGAAATTTAAAATTTTACAGTCAAACACTCATTCCAAAAAAGTTTTTTTTAGTTGAAAAAAGTAAATTTTTTTAGTGGCCAAACGGGCCTAGCCACCAAACTTAAAATATTTTTGAAAAAAACACACACATTGATATAAGCAAATTAATACAAGTTCCCACAGCCACAAGAACCATTTCCTTTTCTATCTACGTCGAATGCTCTATGGAAAAATGTTCTATCTACTGGAATTATTCTTTTTTAGTCAAAAATGTCGTGTTTGAACTCTGAAATTTAAAATCTTTTAGGAAAAAGGTGTTTTATTTTCGTTTAAGATCAGTTTGAAGCTAGACTGCCAAGTTAGTATACTTTGAAGGACAAAGTTATTCACTAGTATCTATTTACGTTGAACATAACACATACAAAGACGCATCGAATTTAAAGTTTATAGTTTTTTATAGCGAACTTAAGTAAATATACAATAAATAACTGAGTTCACGCTAGATTTTTAATACATATATAAGGTATATATAAAAGCTACTGAATTTACGAATCCACGTGTAATAAGTTGGATCCGCCCCTGAACACATACATAATTGGACTATAGGTATGAACAAATCAGCCGCATACCACCGTTAGAAAAGAAAAGGGCGATCACTTATAACCTACGGCGAAAGTGGCTGTAAAAGTATATAAAATCTATATATCTTTTACTATATAAAATATAAAAAAAATCGATTATTATTTTAAAAGGAGCTACACAATGTTATTTTTCAAATAAAAAAAAACAGCAAAAAAGGAACATGATGGAGTGGAGTTGCGAACAAAAATTTGCCTTACACCACCGGTATAATGAAAAAAGGAAACAACTCTTGTTAGTTAAATTAAATTAGGAAAGTCAACAGTTGGCAGCAAAATCCCCAAAATTTTGGAACCCTAAACCTAACCGCAACTCCTTCTTCCTCCTCAAACCCTCCCCAAAAGTCTCACAAAAAAGCTTTCAGCTTTCTATCCTCTCTCTGATCCCTAATCCTCCCTCTGAGCAGCTAAACCTCGAACGGCAGGAACCCAATTGAACACAACCCGTAACCCGAACCGAGTCGAACTGAAGCCCTAAAATTTTCTTTATTTCCCCTAATTTCTCTCCATGGCCACCGATGCTTCCCCAAAATTTCAAAAACCGGATCTTTTATCAGTGCCACAACCACCCGATTACCACCGCCCGGAGGTCGCCGTTTCGCCGGAGCACGACGGACTGCATTTCTGGCAGTTCATGATAGCCGGTTCAATCGCCGGCATGGTGGAACACATGGCCATGTTCCCCGTAGATACAATTAAAACCCAAATGCAAGCCTTAGGTTCTTGTCCTCTTAAATATGCCAGTATCCGTACAGCTCTCGGGTCAATTCTCAAATCCGAAGGGATTCCTGGGCTTTACCGTGGTATTGGAGCTATGGGCCTGGGTGCTGGCCCAGCCCATGCCGTTTACTTCTCCATTTATGAGATTTGTAAGAAGAGTTTTTCTGGCGGGAACCCGAATAATTCTGGTGCACATGCTATTTCGGGTGTTTTTGCCACGGTAGCAAGTGATGCGGTGTTTACGCCTATGGATATGGTGAAACAGAGGCTGCAGTTGAGTGATAGTCCGTACAAAGGTGTAATGGATTGTGTGAAGAGGGTTTTGAAGGAAGAAGGGTTTAATGCTTTTTATGCTTCGTATAAAACTACAGTCTTGATGAATGCCCCATATACGGCTGTGCATTTTGCTACCTATGAGGCTGCGAAACGGAGTTTATTAGGGGTTTCGCCAGAGAGTGCAAGTGACGAAAGATTGATAGTTCATGCCACTGCTGGTGCGGCAGCTGGGGCGTCTGCGGCATTGATTACAACGCCGCTTGATGGTGTCAAGACGCAATTACAATGTCAGGTACTTAATTATATGCTTTGTGGCTTTGTTGGAGTTGGATTTTTTATGTCGGAGTTTTTTAATATTTATACTGGATCTCCTGTTGCTATATGTGTTTATATGTATTTATGTTGTTTTTGTGCCTGTAAGTTTGGGATTAAGGTTGCTTTTCTATGACCTGCCTGAAGATGCTCTGTGCCCTTAAAATGTCCATGTTTTGCAAAGCACATTTTTAACTGGATTTCTCAAGGTAGCTAACTAAACAAGCAAAATGTAAAAGTAGGAAGGTATCGTTGACCCAAAAGTGGAAGATAAAACCTGGAGTAATAATTTTGTTGATATTTAGAATAAGATGTAAGTTCAGCATAAATCAGCCAGCTTGAAGGGCAGAATACGTAGCTGCGCTTTTGAGTTCAAAGAGATAGCATTTGATTAGCATGTGTAGAGTAATATCTGCTTTCATTTGCTATGTAAGGGTATCTTGAAAATTGGTAAGAATCTGAAGGTTATTTTTGTGGTTTGGTTTGGTTGTGAGATCTGGGGTTGCTTTGGGTTATGTTGGTTCAAAGGTAGGTATGTGTTTGGTTTGAGAGAATGGTACTGATTTGGGCTGATTAAGTACGAAATGGTTGTCTGGGAATTTAGTGATTTCCATCTTAACTCGTAGTGGTATATCGATCTGGAACTAATATTCTAGGCTTTGGAAGTGTAACTATTAAAAAAGGAGACTGAAAAATTCAGGAAAGTTTTATCTTGGGACTGGGGTTTTTGAGGATAAGGTTAGATGACTTAAAAGAACAGAACTAGAGGAAAAGCAGAGAAAAGAAACCTACGCATTCTGCTTGGCTTCTTGATATCCCAAGCTACTTGAGGCTGGCTTGTTTTGACTATTTGTGGTTGGCTCAAGTTGGATTAACCTCAACTCAAGCTCAACTGCAGGAACAGTTGCTGCGTAGAAATTGAGCCCAAGGTTATACTGAAATCTGTAACCTCTATCTACTGCATGTTTTCGTATAACGTTCTTTTAAAAGTATGGATATTAGTGAAGGCTTTTTCAATCATTGGTGACTGAATTAGGCGACAAGATCAGTAGCATTCATGTTCTTTTTAAGGCTTTGTACCATATGCAGGTTAAGTGGTTAAGGGCTGTTCTTTAACGGAAGAGAATGATGGCCTAATTGAGATTTTTGTTGAATACTGTATTGTTTGTCCAGTTAGGTTCTTTTATTTTCTTTCAAGTTTGGCCTTCCCTAAAATATTTTGAGACATGAAAGGTTATGTTTCTGCTGTCAGCACAAGTAGAATATAGGTAGTTGATTTACGGGTCTAATAGGTGAGTGCTGATGTGCAAGACATTTGCCTTGCCTTGCCTTGCCTTGCCTTCTAGGTTCTGTTGGCTGAAAACCTGAATAAGATACTTTGACTTGTGCTTCATCAAAAAGTATATCTGACTTTTTCATATTGTATGACATATGGTATGTGGTAATGATTTTATTTAGTTTTTAAAAATGTTTACATGAGCTTACAAAATGATTTTTGTGGTGTTTTTTATGTGGGCTCTAATTAAGAAATCTGCTCTAATGAGTGATTAGAAGATACATTGTTTTTGTACTTACAAACAATGCTTCAGGCATCACAGTTCTAGGAGACATACACTTTGGTGGGGTGGGGGTCCTAACCCCCAAGGAAAAAGTACAAAAAGAGCACTTCTCTTTCCTATTATAAGGGCCGCATGCTATGGTCTAAATCCAAACAAGTAATTTCTGTAAATTAGTGTAGCTGCCATGAATGGTATTAGGTATGCGGAATAACACGCATCTAGATTTGTATAGATGAGTTGCTGTTGAGTGTTTGGTTATTGAAAATTTAAAACATTTCTTTACTACTGCCTGTTTATCATAATGGAGCCTATTCATAAAATGTGGTGTAGTACAATGCTAATGTTTCTCAAGCACACTAGTTTATTTTTGTTCTCAAACTTTTCCCCTATAGTCTGAAGCAGTAATTATTGTGATGGCTGAGTGTAACAAGTAACTATGCATTTGGACAATATTTGAGTTGGCATTGAAAAAAACATTATCTGAAGTTGAAAAGAATTTGTGAAAGTGATGCATTTGTGAAATTACGTTACTCATCTAACTTCAACGTGTTGGTGCAGGGTGTCTGCGGCTGTGACAGATTTAAATCTGGGTCAATTAGGGATGTTTTTCGGACAATTCTGAAGAAGGATGGATACAAGGGTCTTATGAGGGGTTGGATGCCAAGGATGCTTTTCCATGCTCCTGCCGCTGCAATTTGCTGGTCTACATATGAAGCTTCCAAGGCCTTCTTCCAAGAGCTCAATACTGGTAGCAGCAGTGTGACCTGAAAATATATTATAGTGAAAGAGGGAATATTATCACTTTATCTCCAAAATCTCTGTTGTTGTATGCATACCATCTTTTTTTATGGTCGAGCAGAAATTTTACTTGCTGCTGGGGACTGAAGAAGGAGAGACAAGAAGAGGGATTGTGTAGCCTTAATTGGCATGTACAACCACGTAACGGTATTTCATTTTTATTTAGGTTCTATATAATTTATTTTAAATTCGAATGAGTTAGCTGAGATTGAGTCATTGTTTGATGATTTTTTTTCCATGTCATGGAGAAATAGGGTGAATTGGATTGGAAAATTGTGTTGAAAATTTTGAACATTAATTCTTCAAATGCCATGTTGCCCGAAAGTTTTGGAACATTAATCTCTGAATGTATGCATAGATCTATTCTAACTTCGGGTTAAACTCAATGTGGATGGTATTGCACAACCACAGCTCAATTAAGTAGACACAAAAATCATAACTGTACAAGGTTTAATAACTACTAGTATATGATATTATTTTACTCTTAATGTATATTTGTTCATTCATTGTTTTTACTTCCTCAATTATTTAAGTACCCGTATCTTCTAAAAGTTATTTTCGAATGTTTATATTTCATGATGTCCATTCTTATTTCAACGAAAAGTTATATAACAATAATTTAAACATAATCCCTTGTTTTGGGAAGAGCTATAGAACAAATTGTTTAATTATGCTACATTTGTAATAAAATCTGCTATTATTGAAATAATCCAAAAATGGTGATATTAATATAAATGCATTTTAATAAGAGTCCTACCAGGTAAAAATCTCCAAAAAAAAGCCTAAATGACTTTTGATCTATTGGTAAGAGCGCAAGGCATAATGCGTCAGCTAGGCGTACGTCATTGTATTGAAGTCCCTCTATACAAAAATATGGTATTAAGTGGAAATAATAAAGAGGCGACCTCATTATTCCTCGAGTTTTGAACTTTGTAACATTTGCCTCAGGGATTTCTTAATTAAAAAAGGACACAAAAGTACTTGCTTTCTAATATATGAATAAATCAAATGTGACCCAAAAAAAAAAAAAAGCTAATTTAGAGAATCTGAGATTATAAAGTAAATTTGTGAGAAACATGAAAAAGACTATATATAGAGGAAGAAAAATAGAATTGATGAGAAAATAAATATATTGTTTAACTTAATGAGAGAAAAAAATTATCTTAATAACTACACAATCCTACCTCTACTAAATTTAAAAAAAAATATTAAAAGTTAAAATTTTGTACGAACATTACATATAAATATAAATAATAGTACTATATATTATATATATAATATACAGTAGTATTTTTGGGGCCTAGGGCAAGGGCTTCACCTGCTTACCCTAGTATAGCCCTTGAATTTTCCTAATTCCAACCAAATTGACGTTACTTGCACATGTTATTAACATTTTTGAATTAAGTCAAAATATTTTCGAAATTACAGTCCCACTCATAATGGGACTCTACTTTGCATAAAAGTTTTTCCTAATTTTGCACTTGGTATCAACATCTTAGAAATTAATCTACCAATCCATCTCTAATTAGGATTAGTTCTGCATGAATTATAAAAGTACGCCACCCCTCTCATAACCATGGCTTACTAAAAGATGCTAGCCTTTTGCTTCTTTGTTTCCCTATTCTTCATCTCATCTGCTCAAACCAACTGCTCCGATTTCCAATTCCATGACAAGTCGTTTGATTCATGCTCAAATCTTCATACATTAAATTCTTTTATTCATTGGAATTTCGACCAGCCTTCTCGTACTGTTGAAATTGCCTTTAGGAGATCCGAAAACGTGCATGGAAGATGGCTTGCTTGGGCTATAAACCCTACATCAACAGGAATGGTTGGATCACAAGCTTTTGTGGCATTGCAACATTCTGATGGTACTCTTGAAGCATACACATCACCTATTAACACCTATGGAACTATGCTTGAAAAGGGTGACTTGAGTTTAAGGGTTTACGACGTTTCAGCTCAGAATATCAATGGAGAAGTTATCATCTTTGCCAAGTTTGAGATTCCTACCAATGGAAGTACTGTTGTGAATCATGTATGGCAACAAGGACCATTACAAGATAATAAACCAAGAATTCATGACTTGTCAGGAGATAACGTTAAGTCTTTTGGGACTTTGGATTTCCATTCGGGGAAAACTATGACTACAAAAGTAAAATCAAGTTCAAGATCTAAGCTTAAAATTGCTCATGGAATTATCAATGGTGTTAGTTGGGGGATGTTAATGCCACTAGGTGTTGTTCTTGCTAGATTGAGATATTTACCTTTGACAGATCCTTTGTGGTTTCATCTACATATTTATTGTCAAATCTTGGCTTATTTTCTTGGTATTACTGGTGGAAGTTTGGGATTTGTTCTTGGGAGGCAATCTTCTGGAGTAAAAATTAAACACACTTCTCATAGGTATATTGGTGGTGCACTTTTAGGGCTTGCAACATTACAAGTTTTAGCTCGTTGGTTGAGGCCAAAACCAGATCACAAATATAGGGTATATTGGAATTTTTACCATTGGTTTACTGGTTATGCTACTATTATATTGGGAATTATCAATTGTTTCAAGGGTTTTCAGATGATGGACGTGGGAATTTGGAAGAATGCTTATATTGGTTTTCTTGCTTCGTTGAGTTTCATTGCTGTTGTTCTTGAAGTTCTGAGATGGATCTTGAAGGCTAAAAAAGACACAGAAGAAACTACAGTGGGAGCTTAATTTTCCAAAATTTATGGAACAAAAAGTGTAGAGTTGTAACGAAGTATAAATCAGAATGTTTACTTTCGTAGGCGTATAATTTTTGTAGCTCAAATTTAATGTATGTTACATGCTCAAGGGATTATACTAGATGTACTAGTTTTGCAATATTTCTTCTATTATATCTGTCCTTTCTTTTAACTAATATTTTTAATCAAAAAATCATGATATATTTAGGACCAAAACTGAAAAAACTTATGCCTACAGCAAATACTAAAAAGTTTGATGTAAGACAAAATAGAGGGAGTTTCATGTATGAATGTCCTTAGTATGTTAGAGACAATTGGCATATGATGCTATTTTTTTCTTATATACAGTCAAACCTCTCTATATCAGCATCTCAATATGACAATTATTCACTATAAAAGCCAAGTTTTACTTGAAACCAATTTTTATGTTATGTTATAATATATGTCCTCTATAACAACACTTCACTATTGCAACCAAAAAATATCACAACAAATGAGGCTATTATAGAGAGGTTTGACTGTACCTTGTTCATATCTTTCTATCTCTGATAGCTTCAACAATTGATAATAACTTTTATCTCCCATTCTAAGCAAATAGTACTTGAATCCAAACTGTAATTCAAATATCTACGAAATTCTGAAAATTCTGTTGAAGCATACATTGTTTAATGAGATTGGTTAAATGTACGGGTAACAAACGATTTTTATTGTTAACTACCAGTCTACCAGTAAGTTGGCTTTGCTATGTACTAATGAATACTATGAATTACTATACACAATTTATACAAATAGAAAACAAGGAGCCAGCTTTCAATCCACAGTTCCCTGTTTTATGGAATGCATAAATTCACTCATTCACCAATTCATATGGCCATTTGTGAGAGACAAAAACACCGTCTTGTTTTATTCTAGTTCAAACAGGCACCGAGCCATGGCAACGGTGAAATTCGACAGATATATGAAAAGCCTGTAGAAACAAATAAGATGAGAACATGACGTACAGAATTGATCCTAAAATGAAGAAAATTTTGGGATTGGAAAACATGCTTAACAATTTTTACTGTTTGTTATACTAAAAAGAGGTTACAAGTACAAAGCAAGAAGCTAAGAAAAGTTGGGGTTGAGAAAATCCAAGTCCGACAGGCATCTTTTATTTCTGTCATCTGAACTCACAGTTGCCAAGCAAAAACAAGCCCAAAAATTATTGTAATACATGTTCTTTTCGAGGATGGCGGAACTCCCCCTAAAGATGCAGACAAGTTTGTTCATTGAGAGAAGTAAATTCAAAGGAATGCGAATGGGTTTTTCACTTCATTTTTTTTCCTTTATATGCAAATTGGGTAGAACCATTCAAAATCATGCAATACCAGATAAAAATAAAGATGGAAAGAAAAGGAAGTCCTTTATTTTAATATAGTTTTATTCTTCACTTCTGTTTTATAGTTGCAAGGACGGGAGAGAGTCTGGTGCCGCAACCAGAATAGCATCATCCTTTGACATGGTATAACGTGAAACATCAAGCCAAATGCAGAATGAACGTTCTTTTCATCATACCTTGGGGTTTCTATGAAATCTACGTGTAATCAGCAACCTGAAGTTCACTGGACCAATCCCTTGTGCTCCTTAGGGCCCTAGCTTTATTATCTCTTATTTCTAGGACCTGATAACAAACATGCAGTGGGAGATGTCTAAGTATAAAGGACGGATACATCTGTATTAGGAGCCCTACAAGCAAGCTAGCAAACATTACTATGAAATGGTAATAAACCTAGACGTGGCCTCCTAGAAGTGGCATCAACAGTGAAAGCGAGTTGTTATATTTCTCATTTAATACTGGAATTACAATAGTGCTTGGGCCAGAAACGAAATTACCTCAGGGCTCGAGCCAAGTACTCCACTAGACATTCCCACATCAATCCGCCATATGCTACAGTCGTATTTGCTGCAGGGAAACCAAAATCAATCATCTATGTGGCCTAAAGAGATGCTGACCTGTAAAGATAGTTCTTTTTGAGCTAAAAATTGATTCCTAAAGTTGACTGTTGGTTGTAATATTTATATCTAACACAAAAAGTTCATCTTAGTATCACTTTAAGAAAATAATAGATCGTATAAAGATCCTCTACCAATTCACCCCCATAGGTTGAGGAGTATGCCCTACAACCATAGCTTTGGCACCCACAGTTTGCAGTGTCTCTTCAAGAAGAGATTGGATCTGATCAAGAAAAAAGCAGTAAGTTAAAAATTAGCATCACCTGAATAATCATGTCAATAAGATCAGAAATTAAACTTGAATCATTTCAACATTAGAAGAGATCGATTTGAAAAATAGCTAGAAAATACAGTTTTGAAAGAACTAATCGACAAAAGAGATCCACGGATTCAGCGAAACCCAGAATAATGCTTGCTGAATGTGCATAGAGGAAAATGCCTATAACCTGCTCGATCTGGTAGTCTTCCAGATCTGAGTCTCTGGAGTACAAACGGTTCCACACGATACTGTCATAGCCCCTGGTGGCTATGAAAGGCATCTGCGGAGAATCGTCAGCTTCACTCGGACCTTTCATCCATTGAGATACTTCTCTATTCAGTCTCTCCAAGCCATAGGCAACTGCAGCAGC